AATGTACAGTGGTTTTTTTCCCTTTCTTCCTCTTTTCTTCCTTTTTTTTCTTTCTCCCTTCTCTTCCTCTTTGATAAATTCATTTTTTTCATTGCATTCAATCAAGGGCTCTGCATGCTTTGGGATGGAAGTAGGGTGGGAGGGCAGAAAGAAGAGCTAATATCCTGAAATTGTCACATATTTAGCCCAGAACCTGATTTCAGTAGAAACACTTCTTGAAGTAGCCTAGCAATCTGTGTGACCTAACAGCAACAGGGCAGTCATTCTTTGAATAAATACAAGGTTTGAGCCCTTCACTTATGGCAGTCATTAGAGCTCTTGGGCTGCCCAGAGAATTCATGAGAAGCAAATGATTTGTATCTTGCTCTATTTGCCATTTTAGGGGGTGGTGTGATGTGAGCACTCTGCTCGGTCTTGCCTGTTGGTGAGCAAACCTTAGTCCTCCCTTTGTGTGAAGAACCTGAATGGCCTTCAGTCTTTTGTCCCTGAGTATTCTGTCATTGTTAAAACTGCAGCCCTCTTCCTCACCTCTTGCCCTGATGCAAGACTTCAGGAATGATATAACAATAAACTCAAGCCAGAACCCTGAAGCCCTCCCAGGTGCTTAACGCTGTGCTGATTTTAAACCTTGCCCGACAATGCTCTCTCATTGATCCACAGTCACGTGGCCTCATTCAGATAACGGGATTGTTTTCTAAGAGAAACGGTAACGTCGAACACCAAGTTTACAAAATAAAGGAGAATAAAATAGACATTATGAATAAAATATGTGGGCAGAAAAATGTATAAATGATCTGGGGGTGCTGACACAGTATAGTCTTTTTAACTGCCCTCCAGGCTAAATACATATTTTTCAAATTTGTAAGTTTTATACATTAAAAAAAAAAAAAGCCTCCCCTGGTGACCCAGGGCAGCTCAATGTGCATTCGACATGGATCATTCCTAAGTGTCGGTGGCCTCTTGCGAGTACAACATCAATTTCCTGATTCCTCTGCTTATTTTCCGGCTGCACGTGTACATACATACACATCACCATCGAGACACCCTGCTTTCCCCCATTTAGCAGTTGACATCAGCTTTCAACACGGCAGGATTACACTACAAGTCATTGGTGTCACCTATGCACAGACCGAATGTGAACTCTGCAAGAGAACAAGACCCAGAATCAACATTTTCCTGAACTTGCCCTTTCTAGGTCAAAGAAAGAAAGCAGAGACTGCAAAAAGGACTGAATGCTGCTCTGTCTGCCTTCCCAGAGAAACCTGATGAACCTAAATGGAGACCAAACGTGGCTCCCCAGTACACGTCTATTTCTTCTTTTTTTTCTCCATTTGATAAATATTTACTATGCAAAGGCTCTTTGCTAGGCTCTCAGAAAGATGCAGTTTCTGCCTTCAAGATGCTCACTATGTCGTGGAGAAGAATATATGCTAATAAACACAGCGGGAGGCACTACTGAGGATTATTCTTTTACACTCTGTCCTGTGAGAGAGGAACTTGTAGCCACTGCCATCTTTTGAAAATGGATCATCTCTGGCTGCAGAGGATCTGGGCTCTAAACCAGTAGCGTTCAATCTGATTGAATCTGAGTGTGGGTAAATGACCTATTTAGGGTCATATTACTGGGTTAGAGCCCAGGTCATATTAGAATCACCTCTGGGGGTTTAAAACTATATCCAGGCCCATAATGGAATTTCCCAAGGGCTGGAAATAGTTTGTATTTTGATCTGACGGGTGGTTATATGAGTGTGAACTTACGTAAAATCCATTGAACTTTATAATAATATTTATTAACTCGTCTGCAGAAAAGATAACCTCAACTTTTAAAAAAGTTAAAAAGAAGCTCTACATCCAGGCCCACTCCTACAGATTCTACTATGGATGGGGCTGGCTTCATTATGTGTTACAAACTCTAATGTGCGACCAGGGCTGAGAAACAGTCTGCAGGCAATTAAGTTCTCTCAGCCTGGAGAAAGGGCTGAAGGGAGCATGCAGGCCATTGTGTTGAAGAATCAAAACAGCTGCTACTATGCAGTGGTGTTGTCCCTGAAGGCCCACCCAAGCCCATCCTCTGTGGACTGGGTTTTTTCTTGACAGCTCTACAGCTCAGGGAGAGGGTCACCTCTTTTGTGTTTGGGTCAGCTCTTCTGTGCTTGGCCGAAGGCAGGACAGAAGTGGTGGGGAAGGGAAGTGGTTAGTATTCTGGGTTCAAGGGGGAGGTTTGGGAATCAGGTTGCAGCCTGGAAGTAGCAGGCAACAGGTGGCATTGGGTTGGATTCCAGGGGCGCCACCTGCTGATTCTGTGACCCTGGAATGGTCATTTACCCACACTCAGCCTCACTTTCTTCATTTCCCAGTACTTTGCCTGAGACCTCTCTGCCTTAACACTCAAAGTCCTGTGTCCTGGAGAACCCTCAGTTCGGACACGCTTGGGGTGGTTCCTCACTCTATGTATACATTGAGAGCAATTGCACCTACTTCTTAGAGTGTGAGGATAGGCTGTCATGTAAAATGCTTAGCGCAAGCTTGGTAGCATGTTGGTGTCCAGTTAATGGGGGCTATTATTACCAGTAGATTTGGCATTAGGGAAACCTTTTTTGTTGTTTAATGGGATTAGTTCATGAGGTACCTCGCGCACAGTAGGCACACGATAAATATTAATGAAATAAATGCTCAATTGGGGAAAGCCACAGATTTCATTACCCAAATAGAAAGCTTCTTTCTTAATTATGAGGGTATGCCTTCCAAACTGCTTAATGACATCTTGTTTTGTAGCCTGCTTAATAAATCTTTGCTGCCAATGGCAAGTTCCCCATGTCGGCAAATCAACTAAATATTTAACTAAATTTTTTTTCTCCCCAAGGTTTCATGCAGGGTCTTAGCATTGTGCAGCTGATAAGCAGTGAGACCCAGCAGCAAAATCCCGACCACTTCAAATCTGTACATCTCAGACCTTCCTTCCTCTTGGGTGGCTATAAACTCTATAGCAAACACCACCTCCAGCACTCCTACCCCCTCTGCTATGCTTCCTCTACTGGAGGGGCTGGAGAAGCAAAATACACACATTTTTCACAGCCTCACATTCATCTAGGTGTGGCTGAGTACAGAGTTTTGGTGAATAAGATGCTAGTGGAATTCTGCCAAGAGGGAGGGGTCGTCCAAGAAAGCGTTTGCTCTTTTGGCAAGAAGAGCAGATGAGCTGGGTGATGCCTCTACTCGGTCCCCTTGCCTTGCACATAGTTGTGATGCTCACAGAGAAAGATGATGCTAAGACCATGGTACAAGCACGAGGGATGAGGCCAAAAGAGCCATGGAGACCCCAAGATGGGTGAGCAGAACCACCAGAGCAGATGCCTCATATTCAGTGAGAAAAGCCAGTTTCTGTTGTCTGAGACCAGTGAAGGCTGAGCTCTCTGTTACTTGCAACCAAACCAAATTTTTTCTTTTTTTTTTTGAGATGAAGTCTTGCTCTGTCGCCCAGGCTGGAGTGCAGTGGCACGATCTTGGCTCACTGCAGCCTTTGCCTTCTGGGTTCAAGCAATTCTTCTGCCTCAGCCTCCCAGGTAGCTGGGACTACAGGCTCCTGTTGCTACGCCCAGCTAAGTTTGGTATTTTTAGCAGAGATGGAGTTTTACCATGTTGGCCAGGATGGTCTCGATCTCCTGACCTCGTGATCTGCCCACTGCCCACCTCGGCTTCCCAAAGTGCTGGGATTACAGGTGTGAGCCACTGTGCCCAGCCAGTCAAAAACATCTTTATATTGTACATCTGTGATGCCCAGAAAGAGCCAGACACTGAAAATAAGCATGTTCAAGATGAGATCTTCAAGGCATCCCCTTGTAGTCAACTTAAAACCAGAGCCAAACTCATGGCAGCAGGAAATAGAGACCCTGTGATCGTCGGATATTTGTATAAGGCGCATTTTTTATGAGTCCAGTCATTCTCTTGCTGGGGATAGCTTGACGTGTCCCAGTACAGGCACTTCTCTGCCCAGCAGGCTGAATGACCATTGTATCAGAAAAGGAAAAAAGAAAAGAAAGAAAAAACTTGATTATCCAAAACCAGAGCTGACTGTGGCCTTCTACTGGGATATAGCGTAACTCATGTAGCTCCATTCATTCAATTTTTTCTTGCCCAGATGGATGGGGGCATAAAAGAATAATATCAAGGATGTGTTTTCAGCATTTAAAAAGGTCATTAATAGTTCTTTGCTCGGTTGGAAATAGTTATTTATTCATTTTTTCAAAAGTGCATGGCCTCTCATGTCATAGTTAGCAGATGTAGGACGTTTGCCCATCTTATTTGGCAAAAATGCTTCTTAAAGATTTGATAGCAGCCCAAATTCATCGGTGTTCAAGTTTTTCTAAAAACAATTAGGAAATTAAAAAAAAGAAGAGACATTGTATGAATAACTAGGAAGGTGTTTCGATAAAGTCACTGTTAAAGAGCTTTTAAAATAGGCTCCGCATGTTAATGTATAAAAAGGGGCCGGGCGCTATGGCTCACACCTGTAATCCCAGCGCTTTGGGAGGCTGAGGCAGGCGGATCACAAGGTTAGGAGATCAACACCGTCCTGGCCAACATGGTGAAACATCATCTCTAATAAAAATACAAAAAAATTATCTGGGCACGGTGGCTTGCGCCTATAGTCCCAGTTACTCGGGGGCCTAAGGCAAGGGAATCGCTTGAACCTGGGAGGCCACGGTTGCAGTGAGCCGAGATTGCTACACTGCACTCCTGCCTGGGGAAAAAGCAAGACTCTGTCTCAAAAAAGAAAATAAAGGAAAAGGAAGTTAGCAGGCTCTCTTGTAAAAGGATTATTTAGAAATTTGAATAAGCTTAGTGTTATGTAGCTGTTTTAGGAAAAACATTCTTTTTCTATTAATAAATGTTTACAACCACACACACAAAAATAGTTCCTTGCTATGTGAAATAAGTTGTGGGCTGAGTTTAGGTTCGGGGCTGGGAATTTTATAGGTCTGCTAATGAAGGAGGTGGTGTTTTTGTTTTTGTTTTGCTTTTCCTTGGAGTGGTAGAATCACTGGTGAGGAAGGAAACAGGCACCATGGCAGCCTAGACCGGGAGCACGGAGCGACTTTTCAATGACCCCACAGTGCAATATGCTATGAGCAGGGTAAGTCATGGTGCAATGCCATATGCCGTTAAGTACCAGGAGCTCTAAAACTAAATATTAGATTGTTTGCTCCACTCACCTCTACCTTTCAATGAAAGTTTACTACAAGACTCTGTTGTTTGAATTATAATGTGTGAAGGTTGGGGATGGTCAATGGTTAAGTTTAGGGCTGAGTCCACCTTGGGTTAACTATAGGAAAGTGATTAAAAGAATTGCTACAAAGGTAAGAGTGAGAAAAAGGAATTCTGAAGAAGCAAAAAATGATTACAGTGAACATGTATTGGGTACTTACAACAATGGTGAGCCCTGTTCAAAGTGCTTAAAAGTTTAGTATCTTTCTACTCAACAACCTATAAGACAGGCTTACTATTTTTCTCCATTTCACAGATAGGGAAACTGAAGAACAGAGAGGTTGCTTCTGTTGTCCATGGTCACACAGTAATTAAATCTAGGTAGTATAATTCTAGCATCTAAGTTCTTATCCAGAACCCCATATTGCTTTCCCTATCAAGAAAAATATAATTTCTGGGAACTCACAGAAATTTCAAGACGGCACTGGATTTCAAGATGGGTGGGAGTTTGAGCATATCTGCACAGGCTGAAAACATTTTAATCACTTGAAAATTTCATGTAATAGGTGTCTGCGATACCGTTCATAGAAGAATACTGCTTATCTCAGTGTTTCTGCAAAGCATCTTCCAGTTGCACTGTTGATGATGAAAATAGGGACTATCTCAATGTGTCTAAATTTAAATGAAGGTTTTTTAAAATTAAAAGATGGATCTTAAAGGAAATATTTGTCTAACTGAAAAACAGCTTCTCTGACTAAGCGATTAAGTCTCAACAAGATAGACGTCATCATTGCTTAAATCACTTAAAATGCAAAGAGGGTACAAAATTCTTCTAGAGAGGTAAATCAGTCCCTCTCTTGGTGGGTGTCTAAAGTTTTGAAATTTTCTTAAACAGCACATGCAGTTTTTAAGTATTTAGATATTTGAACTGTTGCCTGTGTGTACGGAAAGTAAAAGAAATCCTTGCTCTGTCTCCTGGTTAATCAAAATGCAGTGCTACATCTGAAAATTATTATTTTATAAGGTACATGTGGTTGGCAGGAGATATGGCCTACAGCAGAAAGAACTTGAAGAGGTCTAGCTACATATTTTCACCACCTTTGTGGACAAGCACGTGGAAATTAGCTATGACTTTCCTACCAGCCACCTCAGCCGTGGAGGGTGTGGTTTCCAATGATTATATTGCTGCTATTTCGAGTAATGAGATAGGACTCTGGCACAGCAAGAGGTAGATTTTACGGGGTTCATTTAAATTTTATGGAAATGAGTATTTATTAGTTGACATCTACTGAAGCCCATTTTGAAGGCTTGCCTTTCTTAGTCCAAGGCTCACTGAGGCTAAAGGAAGGTGTCTATAAAGTATTCATCTCCTTCCTTCTTTCTTGAGAATAAGGAACTGACTCCATTTAATTGTCAGTGAAACTGACATTTTCCTGTGGCCTAATCCTGAGGAAGTGTGAAGAGAGTTCGAGAAACACTGTTAATACCCATTCTCCCAGGAACCCAGCACCCACGCACAGCAGGAAAGACAATTACTTAGCAAGTTAGGCAACAGAATATTTATTTTCATGGATCATGTTTGCCACAGGATGATGGGATAAGACCAAAGGGATTCCATCTCCTTTTCTTTTGCATTCACTGGAGAATAAAAATTATTCGTTAACAAGGTGCTATGAAACCAAGATGTATAAGGCCAAAATGGGTCTCAAAACCACTTCTGGATTATCACAGAAATTGTCGTGGCATTCTCCTTCACTCTCTGCAATTCCCACACAATTTTCTTTAACCCTTTGCCAACGTCAGACAAAAACCAAGTGCTGGGACATCCCCATGTACTCTCGGCTGTCCTTCTGACCCCCGATAATGCGGACAAATTGAAGAAATGGCTGAAAACTGGCATTGTCTCTCTTCGCTCATATCATGCGGAATGGCAGGTAAACAGGAAAATCTGGACTGGCACGGAGAATGAGCCAACATACATAAATTACAAATAAAAAGGATTAAGTGACACCAATCTGCTCCCCAATACCACTTGCCAGCGAGAAATCGCTATGGTAACCACTCCCCGTGGCCTCCCTGGGTATTCAACTAGTGGATTTTCCCCCCACTTTTCCTTTTCAAGGAAAGTTCTCAAAACTGATTTAAATATTATGATATTCTCATCTCCGAGTGCTAAATGCGAGATGTATTCGTGTTGGCTGGGGTGCCTTTTCAAACATATACTTTTCTCCCGTCAAATGACACTGCCACAAAGGTGAATTTTCTCCTAATAGAAGGTTCCTTTTTTAAAAACCTGAAGTTGGGGGTTGCAGGTGGCACTGTGCTTTTAGGGATGACTGGGTTAAAGTTGCCAAGCAACCAAGTAACAATAAAAGGAGAGGAGGGCATCTACTGAACAGAAGTATTGCCTTTTGCAAATGCGTATCTGTCGTTCTCTATGCTTTTCCTTTTACCATCTAGCTCTTACGGCGTTTGGTTGAGGTGTTCTAATGTATAAATATTAAAGGCTTAGTTCAGCTTAGGGGATGGGCTAGAGACTAATGTAGGAGGTAGAGAATTTACTGCATCCTAATACCATTAACAACTGGTTAATTTTCCTGGCACAGGAGCAGGGTAGATAAACATATTTTTAAATCTTCATTTTGCAGTTGAGGAAAATAAAACCCAGAGAGGTTAAATGGACGGCCCAAGGTCATACAGTCATCGAGAAAGACAGAATCTGAACTTCAGCCTCCTTGATTTCAGAGTGGCATATTGTTTCTGCTACATCGCTTTGTTACTAACGTGTATTTATTTTTCCCTTTTAGAAATCACTCTGGGGCTAGGCACAGTGGCTCATGCCTGTAATCCCAACACTTTGGGAGGATCACTTGAGGTCAGGAGTTTAAAATTAGCCTGGCCAACGTGGTGAAACCTTGTCTTTACTAAAAATACAAAAATTAGCTGGGTATGGTGGTGCATGCCTGTAATCCTGGCTACTTGGGAGGCTGAGGTAGGAGGATTGCTTGAACCGGGGAGGTGAAGGTTGCAGTGAGCCGAGATCTTGTCACTGCACTCCAGCCTCCAGCCTCCAGCCTGGGTGACAGAGTGAGACTCTGCCTCAAAAAAAAAAAAAAAAAAAAAAAAGGAAAAAAAAAGAAATCACCCTGTCTACAGGTTCTCCTACCCTTGAAGTTGTTTGATCCACATAATCAAATACACAACACCCTCCACTGGGCAAAAAGGAAATACATTGCCAGTTGTGACCCCTTTTCTCTTCCCTGCTTTCTCTCCAAAGTCCCAAAGAAATTTAGTCAAAGCTCCCTGGTTTCAGCAGTTAGACTTGCAGCAGTATATTTGAAATTGGAGTGTTTGACCACTTAGTGATGTTGACTGATGTGTTGTGCTGATCTGAGGCAAATTATATCCATTCACTCACCAAAATCATCCTGACATAGGCAGACCTGACTCATTTTAAAAGAACAGGATGGTGTGGAGGTGGGAGGGGGGATAACTGTTGTATTTTATCTATTGGAGATCGTAAATATTAAGTTTCAAATTAAAACAGAAGAAAGAAGAAGGAGAAAGAAAACACTAATGCTTCGTATCCATTGTCAAGAAAATCTCTTCCAGGGGAACATCAAAAAATGCCTTTCTCAAGAAGTTTGAGCAACTGCCATTAGGGTGGGAAAATGAAAAGGAACTTGAACAGAACAAGATGTCCTGAGTGATTTCATGGTACTTCTGACCTTAAAAGGCATATATTGAGATGTAAGTGCTTTAGTGATTTTGCAGATCCTGAATCCGCAGTGACTTGAAGGCCTCTTGAATATATCCTGAGGTTTGACATTTGCTGCAATTTTTTTACCCTCTCTCCCAAAGATCATTATGAAACAATGCCACAGAACCTACCAAAATGTGAACGTCTGTGGGAAGTTACTAAAACAGGTAGTGAGGGTTTGCTGGGGGCTGCACTTAAGAAAATCTGAAAATTGCTGGCTCTGTTGTTAAGAGAAATAAACACTTTGTTCACAAGTGTCTTTGGCATGGCTCTGTGTGATGGCTTGGTTACAGCAACACTTCCCTGGCAGGGAATTAGTTGAACAGCACGAGGGAAGTAAAGAAGATAAACCCTGGAGAGGAAAAATGTGCTGAAGTTTTACTTTTTTTAAATTGTATTTTAGTTTTTAAGGTTAAGTTTTAAAGACAAAAAAACATGCTATTATGTCGGGCAAGGTGTCATCCTCTGAGGGGCTCTGTATAATGTTTAGAAGTTGGTGTCCCTGAGAACCTGGGAATTAAGTTGCAAAATGAATTGTCCAAGGAAGAACATGTAAATCGTAGTGATCTAATTACATTCTTAGATGTTCACCAGCAAGTAGGAATGTGTGGTCAAAATTCAAACTTCCGCATTGACAGCTTGCTGGCTGAGTCGTGTCAAAGGCCGATGGCTGCTTATCTGTGGGTCTCTGTACATATGGTGAAGGTGTATTGACTAGTTACTTAGCAATTGGGAAAATAAGAAAGCAAAATTGGAAAAATGTGGAGTGGAGAATAATCAGAATTACAAATAAACAAAAAGATGACATTAACAACAAAATAACAAAATAAGTAAAGAGAGCAGCTATACTTGGAACAGAACATTTTTAAAAGTACACATTTATAGGCCGGGCATGGTGGCTCACACCTGTAATCCCAGCACTTTGAGAAGTCAAGGTGGGTGGATCACGTGGTTAGGAGATCCAGACCATCTTGACCAACATGGTGAAACCTTGTCTCCACCAAAAATATAAAAATTAGCTGGGCATAATGGTGCGCGCCTGTAGACCCAGCTACTTGGGCGGCTGAGGCAGGGGAACCGATTGAATCTGGGAGACAGAGGTTGCAGTGAGCTGAGACTGAGCCACTGCGTTCCAGTCTCAAGACAGAGTGAGACTCCATCTCAAAAAAAAAAAAAAAAAGTACACATGTATAAATGGGCAAAATAAGGGAAAAATTTGTTACCCATATTATAATAAAATACTTTTTTTATTTTTAAAAAGACAATCAAATCTGTAAAAACGAAGTAGTGAGCTGAGGAGTCATAATTTACGGAGGAAATAGCAGTTCAAGTTATTTTATGTGAAATCTTTGGGGTAGAGGATTTCAACTAATCAATGAATTATCCAATTAGTTGCCTCAATCCTTACTTGATCTTGTTAGCAGGACTATTCCAAATTGTGTTCAAACATTCTAGTGCTGTCATAAAACAGGGCGTGGCTTTCTCTCTTTTGTAGAACAGATGGGGTCTAGGTAGCTATCTATCATCTCTTAAGTTGGGGGTTTGCCCAGGAATAAGATGATTCCCAGGCTCTAATCTTCTCCACCTACCCTGGGACTATGTCACTACTGACTCCTGGGATTGTGCAACTCACAGGTGTTGAAAAACAGAGCCTCATCTATAAGCCCAACAATTACTCCCACAAGCCCTTCTGGGACAGAGGCTCACACTTTGACAGACGCATTTCATATTCTATCAGAGCACTTCTCAAAAATGAGACAAAAGGAAGTTTTGCACAGTTATCAGGTGCGTTGAAAATTATTTGTGACTAATCTCTCCTAAGGACTGCGATATACAAACTATTTGGTTAGAAGAAGAGAGACTAGATTTCACACTGTTCTGTGCTATTGTTTTCCTCACTCAGTAGCATCCCAATGTGTTCTCTCAAAGGGTAAATTGATGCTGCCACTTCTGGGCTTACCCCTTTCCAGTGACTTCTCAATGTCCCCTTTGAGGCAGCTGACAAGATCCCCTGCACCGCAGCCTCTGCACAGCAAGCCAACCTCTCACCCCCTGCCTTGGTACTATCCCCCTTTCTGTTTCCCAGACAAGCCAAGCTCCTTCTTGTATGTGAAATCTGCTTTTGCCTTTCCCTGCAATATTGTTTCCCCAGATCTCCGAAGTCAGTTCTTTCTCATTATTCATGGGTCAGCTAAAAAGTTCTTGTCTTCAGAGTGGGGTCCTTGATGACCCCATCCACATAGTCCACCCACCCAACTTATACTTCAGCCTGCTGCTCTTACCATTGTCAGACCCAGTGCCATGGTTGATATTCTTCGAAGTCCTGCTTCAGAAATTATGTTGTGTATTTATTTTTCTTTACATGTTTGTTCTCTGCCCCTTTCCACTAGAATGGAAGCACTATGAGAACTTAACTGTGGTCACAACTGATGCCTCCATGTACAGCAGAGTGTTTGGCATATAGTGGGTACTCAATGAATATTTATCTAAATAAATGCATGAGTGTTTTTCTAATTGGAACAAAAAGGGTGGAGTTACAGATTTTGGGTCAAGAAGGACATGTTTAATAAAGGGGATCACCCGTAATAGGGAAGTGATAGAAAGAAGTTGGAAAAACCACCCATACAAGAAGCTCCTTTATGGATACATTATCTCTCCTGCTTACCCACCTGGAAAGGAGAGAATAAGTTTCAACACTTTGTACAATTTCATAGCCAATTCTTTGACATAGTAAGGGACCACCAAATTCTGCAGTAAACCATCCAGGGTTGGGGGATATTCAAATAGGTCACATAATAATTACAGATAATATTTATCTAGTGTTTCAGTGTGTCAGGCATGGGCCTAATTATAACATTTAATTCTCAAACAGCCTTAGAAGTATTACTGTTACCTTCTTCATTGCACACACAAGGGAAGTGGGGCTTGGACAAGTTAAATCTTGCTTAAGGTCATAGAGTTAATAAATGATGGAGCCCAGATTCAGACCAAGTTAGTGAGACTGTACAGTCCCTGCTACTAACTTCTGTCCTACCCCCAGTTTACCCAAGAGAATACACTGGTTGATAGTTTAGAAATCACTTCATGTTTCCATGGCCAGGTGCAGTAGCTCATGCCTATAATCACAGCATTTTGAGAGACCAAGGCAGGGATAGCTTGAGCCTAGGTGTTCAAGGCTAGCCTGGGTAAGATGGCAAGCTAATTAAAACATTATCTGGGTGTGGTGGTGCACACCTGTGGTCCCAGCTACTTGGGAGGCTGAGCAGGGCAATTGCCTGAGCCTGGGAGGTGGAGGCTGCAGTGAGCTTGATTGTACCACTGCACTCCAGCCTGAGTGACAGAGCCAGACTCAGCCTCAAAAAAAACAAAAAACAAAAAACAAAAAAAACAAAACAGATTCTATGATTTCTCTCATTGGATCAATTTTCCCTGCATTTGAGCCTTCATCATTGACAGTGAACTTATTTCCTGACAATTCCCATTGCTATTTCTTAAGGTATACTAAAATCCTTTGCAGTTAGAGGAGAAAAGAGTATAGTAACTCTGAATAATGTGATACAACCTGCCAGTGTGGCCAGATCACCAGGGGTCATGGAACGAGGTATTGTGAGGGGGTGTAAATGTCATGTGCCTTTCTCTACCTTGAAGTCATCTGGGGTAAACGGATTACGAATCAAAGATCCGGGATTCACTTTGGGCAGATCATTTCCCTTTCTACTACATTCATACCATCTGTAGAATAAGTAGACCCCAAAGTCCATTTTGTGGTGGGGTCCCTAGACCTGCAGAAATTCTAAAATTTGGTTTCATCTCAGTCTCTCTGCTTTGGGAAAATTTCCAAAGCTTGCATGAAAAATGTGAGTGACTATGTAAAACTGTCAATTGCCTCGAACAGGGAAAAGATAAGAGATGTATTTTTGGGTTTGTATCACCCTAACCTTAGCCTTGGACCAAAAATATAAAGGAGTCTCTAGGAAGATGGCTTTGACCTCAGACCAGGGAAGAACAGAAACAACTCAAGTTATGATAAATGACAAAGATAGTCTGGAGCCTGTGTTTTAAGAAAAAGATAAAGTGCGTGGGAGGGAAAGGGCTGGAGATGAAACAACCCTGGAAGTGCTAGCCCAGTTGACCAGCTGTTTTCAACAGCACTTTTCACCCATCTTGCTGCACCAATGGATGAGGGAGATAACGCTGAGCCTAATTTGAAGGAGCTTAACTCTTACATATTGGAAATTCCGGCATATTGAATGTTGGGTGATCATGCTACAGGATAGATAACAATCTTTTAAGAATAAAACCTTAGAGCAACTAAACTGCATGATCACACTCCTCCACTAATAAACACTGACATCTGGCCTTTTTCTTGAGTCAGGAAGTGGGCAGCTCAGCACTGGTGAAGCCCAGAGCAAATTGCAAATTCCTCAATGAGACATCAATTTCTGGACTTCAGAGGAGACAAAAACCCAGACCTAGATTTGAAAAATTTATGAAGGAAGCACACCATTAAAAAAAAATTTGAAAATGGGACAGGTAGATAAGAGAACTAAGTCTGAGAGGGGAATCAGTCTTTAAGAATAATGTGCACCAAACTGCCTGGAGTTTTTTTTTTCAGTCATTACAGACCTGGATAGTAATGAATCCTTCAACTTTATCTTAGCTAAGGCATGGGCACAGATCATTGGATATATGTGAGAAGCTTTTAGGAGGTCCATAGAGCCAGCAATACAAGCAAAACCCACAAAACGCAGAATTATAAAGTGAAAGATGGCTGTTTTAAATTTTCTTCCATGCTCCCAAAAAGTCTCAAAAGTGTCAAGTTCAAGTTCAAATCCAAGTTCAAGGTTTTAACATCTCGGTAACACTATTTAAACTCCTGTCCCAACAGAAAGAAACCAGACCTCAGCACCAAGACTTAGGCAGGCATCAGGAGCTGGCCAGATATGAAAACATTATTTTGTGGCCACTTTATTTTTTGTCATTTGCTCCTTTTTTTGTTAAGTGATGCTAGTTTTCATTTAGTCTAATTAAAGTTTCCTCTTTAATGCAAGTATTTATGATAAGTAAAGAATAGCACAAGGAGTTTGCTGATATAAGTACAAATATCACTTGAATAAAATTAGGGAAACACTGCTTTATGATGATAAGAGCTAACATTGCTTTGCTTTTAGTGACTATCAGGAACTATTTAAGTCATATATATAATATATATATATATAGATACGCACACACACACACACACACACACGCAAACATAAATTAATTTAACTTTCTTTACTGCCCCTTGAGATAGGTCTTATTATTATCCATGTTTTTATAGAAAAAAGAGACATAGAAAGAGTTTAAGTAATTTGCCCAGAATTCACATCTAGCAAGTTGCAAGGTCAAGATTTGAACAGGAGGGTTTTGGACCACAGAACACATATTTTTTGCAACTGTGCTATCCTGCAACCAGGAAGTCTGGCTTTGACTGCAAATGGAAGTGAGTATGGTGAGCAATTAGTCAATCCGTGAACCTGGGTGTTGAAGCATTGTCTATTTGTGAATGGAGGGTATGGGGACAATATTAAAAGCCAATGACTAGACGGAAATGTACTAAATGGAAAGCACCAAGATGATCTTTATAAATACTGCAATTCTCTAAGATCACAGGGAGGACCAGGGAAAGTAACGAGCAAATCTAAGAGAACACCCCACTAGCCTCCAGAGGCAGAAATGACTGTTGTCTTTATGCAACCGCAGTAGTGTTGTTGGAAGCAGGCTTTATGCTGCCTTCACCTTTGAGATGTGATGGGAATCCTGCTTTTCAAAGGGAAACTTGAGAAATAAGAACTAAAAAAAAGGATTATGAAAGATTCCTCACAAAAAGGATTAGAGGTTCGAGGAGTAAAAGATCAAAAAGACTTAAAACAAAAAGAGTCTCAGAACCTCTTGATGGACTGAATTTTTCTCTGAGCTGGTGAGTTTCCAGGCTCCTCTCAATTAAATGGCTTTTAAATGGGAATTATTTTAGTATCAGGAGCCGAGGAGAGCCTGAAAGCTCAGGAAAAAATGATGACAGAAGAACTTAAAAATTATGACTCAGTTGTATAATTTTTGCCCAGCAAAAATTTATTCTCTGAGTTTTGACTTGACTTTAATAAAATACGTCTCTCTCTCTCTCTTTCTTTTTTATAAGCTTGTAGGCTTCCAAAGTAGTTGATGTAGATGATCTTGCTCAATCGTTCCAATTATCCTGAGCAAGAGGTGGGGAAAGAATTTTATGACTGTTGTTAAGATTAAAACATTGAGGCATAAGACATTAAGATATTACCTAATGAAATCTCAGCTAGTAATCATGCCATTTAGCAAATGTCTACCACAGTGCTAGGCTCGGCACTAACTGCTTTACCATGTTTAGTTATTAATCCTTCTAACAATCTTTGATGTAGGTACCCACCTTTTGCTCCATCTCTGGAGGCCGGTGAGATTAAGCGACCTGATGGCACACTGCAGTATGGAGGTCCAGCCCCTCCTAGCTCACAAGATTTCATGACAGCAGACTGTGTGCATCTCTTCCCACCGTGGGAGAATTTACACCAGAGAAACTGGTCAATGCTGCAAATCAGGACCTGGTTTTTTTTTTTTTTTTTTTTTTTTTTTTTTTTGAGATGGAGTCTTGCTCTGTTACCAGGCTGGAGTGCAATGGTGTGATCTTGACTCTCTGCAACCTCCAACTCCCTGGTTCAAGCAATTCTCCTGCTTCAGCCTTCCAAGTAACTGGGACTGCAGGCACGCACCACCACACCCAGCTAATTTTTATATTTTTAGACGAGATGGGGTTTCACCATGTTGGCCAGGATGGTGTTGATCTCCTGACCTCGTGACCTGCCCGCCTCAGCCTCCCAAAGTGCTGGGATTACAGGTGTGAGCCACTGTGCCTGGCCAGGATCCGTTTTTTTTTTTTTTTTTCTTTTTTGGAGAGCTAGTTGTTAAACATTTACCAGCACAGGACACATGCCTGGTAATTGGCAGAGTGGCATCCAGGACCAGGCTGTCTGTGCCACACTGTTGTTTGCCTTCCACCTTCTCAACAGTGTCGTGCCCTCTGGACAACATCCAAGACTGGTATCAGTCTTCTGTTACCTACAGGGTGAGGGGGCTTGAAGTCTAACCTGGAATTCTCATGTATTAACTGTTTTTGTTTTTGAGACAGAGTCTCACTCTGTTGCCTAGGCTGGAGTGAAGTGGCATGATCTCAGCTCATTGCAATCTCTGCCCCCTGTGTTCAAGCAGTTCATCGGCCTCCCAAGTGGCTGGGATTACAGGCACGCATGACCAGACCCAGCTAATTTTTGTATTTTTAGTAGAGACAGGGTTTCACCATGTTGGCCAGGCTGGTCTCGAACTCCTGGGCTCAAGCGATCCTCCTGCCTTGGCCTCCCAAAGTGCTGGGATTACAGGTGTGAGCCACTGCACTCAACTCATGTATTAATTTATACTAAAAAGTATAAAAATGCCACAGAGATTTTAAAAAATACTCATACAATCTGTGCTAATGGCTGTGGGTTTCAAATTCTTGCTTGTTTTCAATGGCGACCCTATATCATTGAAACTCCCTACCTACCTAATCAAAGTATTAACTGTGAATGGACCAATGATGAGATTGAGTCTTCCCTGATTAATCCATGTTCCTGAGGGGACATATAAGAAGCATGTGATGTCAGGTGCATGCGACTTTTATCTGAGCCTTGCCACTTACTGGCTGTGTGACCTTAGTCAAGTTACTTCAACTCTCTGACTGTCTGAATTGGAAAATAGTAATAGAGCCATTGAGGGGATTAAATGAGCTATTTCTGTGGAGCCTGACAGCCAGCAAACTCTCCACAGATCGTCGGCTTCTATTCTGGGTAATTAGTTACTATTGGTATACACGCAGGGAAAGCAAATTGCAGTCAGAAGGCGTTTTACAGCCTGGGCAACATAGTGAGACCCCCATCACTACAAAAAGAAATCCAGTCATGGTGGTGCACATATGTAGTCCCAACTACTTGGGAGGCTTAAGCAGGAGGATGGCTTGAACCTGGTAGTTCAAGGCTGCAGTGAGCTATGATTGCACCACTGCACTCCAGCCTGGGCAACAGAGCAAGACCCAGTTTCAAAAAAAAAAAAAAAAAAAAAGGTGGTTTATGTGTATTACTTGCCAGGAGGGTGAAATTCTAATGAACTTCAGAAAGAGTTCTTGAGAGGCTAGAGAGGCTACTAGGATTGCTTTGCTACTGGATTCAGAAATGTTCCAGACCAGAAGTCAAAAATCCCCTCATTTCCAGTGTGGAGGTTTAAGACACAGATGGTCTCAGATTAACTCTCCTCCACCCCCTGTAAAGGTCAGGATTACCAGCTCACCATGTAGCAGTTTTGGCACAGAAAACATGTGGACAAAATCACGCTCTCCTCCTAGATGAGTGGACAGAAGCCTCAATAATTAGTCATTAGTATTAAAATTATTATATGTGAACCTTTCCCATGATAGGCCAGACACTCAATGTTCAATAACCATCCCAATAACTTGGTTGGAAGGAAGGACATTCCTCAAGGCAGAAATCAAGGTTTGCTCATCAAATATACCAACATAGGGCTTTGATTCAGAAGAGCATGCTGTGAGGAGGCAGATTTTATCCTGACTTGAGTGAAAGTCATCTGCCCTGCAGAGGTAGCTGTTTCAGAACTCCTAATAGGAAAGTCAAATGTCCAGCACAGCTAGTGTAGGGGTGGTTCCACCAGCATGGTCCTGGCAAAATTCTTGGCTGTGTAGCCTTCAAATCTGATTCACTGGACCACTGGGTGGTCCCACGAACCATATAATAACATTTGATAAAATTTTTCTCTGTTAGCTGGTATAGATTCTGTGACGTGTAACTGAGAATCCCAACTGAACCCCCAATTTTGCTCTTGATCTTTTATTTATTTATTTTTTTGAGATGAAGTCTCACTCTGTCACCTAGGCTGGAGTGCAGTGGCATGTTCTCGGCTCACTGCAACCTCCACCTCCCAGGTTCAAGCGATTCTCCTGCCTCAGCCTTCTGAATAACTAGGACTACAAGCATGAGCCACCATGCTCCGATAATTTTTCGTATTTTCAGTAGAGGCTGGGTTTCACCATGTTGGCCACGGCTGGTCTTGAACTCCAGACCTCAAGCAATCCACCCACCTCAGCCTCTCAAAGTGCTGGGATTACAGGCATGAGCCACTGCACCCAGCCTGCTCTTGATCTTTTTGACATTTGGAACTGACCACCACCCCCACCGTGGATTGGTGGCCTTTCCTTCAGCTTTCATGTTCTTGAGGAGACATGGCAATGTGGCTTTCTCCTCTACCCTCACATCCAGCCTCACTAAGTAGCTACCACATAGGCCACAGGTTGGCATATTTTTTCTGTAAAGGACCAGGTAATAAATATTTCAGGTTTTGCAAGTCATAACAGTCTCCGTTGCAACCCCTCAAATCTGACATTATAGCACAAAAGCAGCCGTAGACAATATGTAAACAAATGGCATGGCTGTGTTCCAATAAAACTTTATTTACAAAAACAGATTTTTTTGTAAATAAAGATTTTTTTGTAGCCTAGATTTTCCAGTCCTTGACATAGGTAGCACTCTGGAGATGACAGTTAGCAAAATAGAACCTTTGAGAGTGAACACCGACTACAGGCCTAGTCTTGGCTTACCACTGGCTGCCTTGTAACTCTGGATGAATACATTTACCTCTCTGTACCTATCTTTGCATGTAATAACCATAATAAAACTATAATACTTGTGCTTCTTCTTGCCTAGAGTTCTGAATAGACCAAATGAAATAACATATCCCAGAGTGCTTTGACTGTATTAAAAGTGTTTAAAAATATGGGGACATTGTTAGAATTATAGTTTGATTCCCCAATAAACAGTGAACTCCTAGAGATGAGAATCTGTGTCTTTTAACTCTAATCCTTTGTTTTCTAGTACTTTGCCTTTCACATAGTAGACACTGTATAAATGTTTGCTCAATTAAAATTGTTTAGCTTTTGATTTAGAATACTTTTTAACTTAGTGATAGATGAAAGCTGAGGTTTGAATGATCATGAACCTACCAAAATGAGCAGTGAAGTATTAATGCTATAAACCTTTGAAGTTGTGATCACAAAGTGAAGTGCATATAGGGGCCAAGCAGAAAATATAAATGAGGGTGGGGGTCTGGGGTAGGATAATAGGAGGTGTTGGGGATTGTGGTAACCTGAAGAGGGCATGTCCTATAGAAAAGGGAAAACGTCCCTTAGCTCCAACTGACTCCATGTGGGAAGGTGGAACACCATTGACAATTTTTCTAGTTTTTCAAGAGAAGCTGAAAATATGGAGTTTAATGTAAATTTCTCTGATTTTAAATATTGACAAGTAATCCTCTGAATTAAAAATCCCTAAATCTCATTATTAGGCCATTTATAACCCTTCATGTAATTTCTGGAAATAGAAATGAAAGTTATAATTGAAAAAATAGCAATGTAGAAAATGTTTAGATTTCATTGTCTTTTGATTCCCTGGGTATAATTAATAGTCTTTTGCACTCATTGGAAAATTTCAGTCATTTCAATTTTCAATGATTGTTTGATCATGGTTTTATTCTTTTTATGACTCATCTAATTGCTATCAGAATTAGAAGCTGATTTATTTCAACTTCCCAGATATTTGCATGTCTTCCTTCTTTGATTCATTCAGGTATCAGATCAGACGTCCCTTTCTCAGACAAGCCTTCCCTAAACCACATGCCTAAAATGCCCTTCCTCCAAAGGACATGAATAGACAATTCTCAAAAGAAAATATACAAATGGACAACAAATATATGAAACAATGCTCCATGTCACTAATTATTAGAGAAATACAACATAAAACCACAACGAGATTCCACCTTACTCCAAGTATGGCTATAATTAAAAAGTAAAAAAAAACAGAGGTTGGTGTGGATGTGGTGAAAAGGCAACACTTTTACACTGCTGGTGGGAATGTAAACTAGTACAGCCACTATGGGAAACAGTGTGGTGATTCCTTAAAGAACTAAAAGTAGACCTACCATTCAATGCAGAAATCCCACTACTGGGTATCTACCCAGAGGAAAAGAAGTGATTATATGTAAAAGACACTTGTACATGCATGTGTATAGCAGCACAATTTTCAGTTACAAAAATATGGAACCAGTCTAAATGCCCATCAACCAATGAGTGGATAAAGAAAATGTGGTATATATACACCATTGAATACTACTCAGCCATAAAAAGGAATGAAATCATGGCATTAGCAGCAGTCTGGATGAGTTGGAGACCATTATTCTAAGTGAAGTAACTCAGAAATGGAAAACCAAATATCGTAGCTAAGCTATGAGGACTCAAATGCATAAGAATGGTAGAATGGACTTTGGGGACTCAGGGCAAAGAATGGAAGGGAGTGAGGAATAAAAGACTAAACATTGGGTACCGTGTACACTGCTCAGGTGATGGATTCACTGAAATCTCAGAAATCACCACTATAGAACTTATCCACGTAACCAAAATCCACCTGTTTCTCCAAAACGATTGAATTAAAATAAAATAAAAAATTTAAGAAATGAAAAAATAAATAAAATAGGCTTCCTCTCTTCTGCTCTTATTTTTCTCTTTTTAGCATTTACTAGCATCAGGCATATTTTCATTTGTGTATGATCTGTTTTTCCCACTAGAATGACAACTCCTTGAGAGCAGAAATATTGCCTCTGTTTCCAGAGGCAATATTTCCAGTCCTAAGTTTCCAGAACCTACTACAGTCTCTGGCAATGGCAGGCACCTAAAACTATGTTGAATGCCAATCACTGTGCATGGGATACCAAGACCATTCATTCTCTAAGGCTTTGGCAAAAAATACGGATGTGAGAAAACTGGACTTCTATTAACACATTTTAACATGGATATAAACCTAAAACTTATTTACCAGAAGCAACTAGTTCTTCTTTTTTTCTTTTTTCTTTTTTTTTTTTTTTTTGAGCTGGAGTCTTGCTCTGTTGCCCAGGCTGGAGTACAGTGACACAATCTTGGCTCAAGGCAGCCTCTGCCTCCCTGGTTCAAGTGATCCTCCTGCCTCAGCCTCCCGAGTAGCTGGGACTACAGGTGCATGTCACCATGCCTAGTTAATGTTTGTATTTTTAGTAAGTTTCATCATGTTGGCCAAGCTGGTTTTGAACTCCTGACCTCAAGCGATCTGCTTGTCTTGGCCTCCCAAAGTGCTGGGATTACAGGTGTAAGCCACTGCACCTGGCCTACTGGTAACTAGGTTTTGACATTAAGAAAAATCTACAAATCTGTCTAAAGCCAGATTTTTACATTATGTTGAAGACTGAGATTTCCTGTGGCCAGCCTCCTGATGATGGAATTATAGTGGAATTTCATGAGGACCAAATAAACTTTAGGATTTAAAGATTGCAATCTGCTCCAACAAATGTTGGGATAGAATATAAAAATTGTCCATTTTGAAATACTCTTGGAGGGGAAAAAATCTGAGTCATTAAAAGTTATAAAAACGGCCGGGCGCGGTGGCTCAAGCCTGTAATCCCAGCGCTTTGGGAGGCCGAGGCGGGTGGATCACGAGGTCAAGAGATCGAGACCATCCTGGTCAACATGGTGAAACCCCGTCTCTACTGAAAATACAAAAAATCAGCTGGGCATGGTGGCGCATGCCTGTAATCCCAGCTACTCAGGAGGCTGAGGCAGGAGAATTGCCTGAACCCAGGGGACGGAGGTTGCGGTGAGCCGAGATTGTGCCATTGCACTCCAGCCTGGGTAACAAGAGCGAAACTCCGTCTCAAAAAAAAAAAAAAAAAAGTTATAAAAACTCAAGTTAAATAATTCAGGTTAAAAAAGAACAATATTAACTTCTGAAAAATGACTTCTATGTTCATCTACCATGAATTTTGTTGGCTTTCAAGGTGATATTAAGCACATAAAATAATTTTAGAAGGAAAAGAAATCCAAAATGCCACTACCCTTGCACTCACTGTAACTAGTATTTCCCAAGTTTTTTCCAATCCCAGTCTCCATGCAAGTTTGCTAACCTCTTAGACAGTCAAG